TAATAAAATCTTCCTGTGGTGAATATAAATTTTTTAAAAACTGGAAAAACTGGAATAAATCCTTCATGCAAATTTAAAATTCACAGTATGAACCTTAAAATACAATAACTGAAGTTGGTAAGGAGAGTAACAAAAGTTAGATTAGGGGGAGTTCGAAAAATAACCCATGACTGAAAAATCACAATAAAAGAAGTAAAAACTTCAGAAATTAAAATAAAGGATGTGAATGAATAATGAATTTGAGATCAATGGAAAATTAATTTCTTGAGAAAACAAAACAAAGCAGATAAGAGTACGCCCTGCGCGCTGTGATTTTTATAGCTGCTAATAAAAGATTAGCTTACCGAACAAATTCTGTAGAAAAATGAATAAAAAACCTCTTAATACTGAAAAGATAAAGCACTGTGTTGAGCACAAGTAAGGAGTAGAAACGTAAGAAAAAGAACCCAATAATGAATGAACAACATAACTGCAAATCTTCTATACCGTCATAAGGATGCTTTTCATCCGGCCTTTGTCAACATTCACTACTATACTGAGGGCGATTAATACTATTTGTCGACGCAACTGGAGGCAACCTTTGTTGTACAATATGCATGGAGGAATCCGTCTGAAGCAATATTCTATCAAACAACCGTAAGGAAAAAGTCGTTAAACATGACAGAAATATTAACAGTCGTACAAAAGAGGAAACAGAAAAAAAAATGAAACCTTTGCGGGAATAAGTAAAAGTAGAAGAAAGTATCTTTAACCTGTTGTGAGCCATCTACCATGCTACTGTAATTAATCACGGTACCCGGATTTGAATTCGAACGCCCGATCGTACTCGTTACAGTCCGAACAGGAACTGCAGTGGAAACAGGACTCGGAGAGTATGATCTCGTTTGCGGACACTTGAAGAACATTACATAATAAATACAATATTGATGAAAAGCAAAATATTGAAATTCCACTAAAAATTAGAATATACATATATCCAGAGATCTGAAGCAGAAATCAAAAAAAAACTGTTTACTTGCTGATATTGGTAGCTGCCAGAGTTAGATGGAGAGACAGCTTGAGGCTGCTGCGGAGCCAAATGAATTCCGGGTGATGAACTAGGAGTGTTGTGGTTTGGATTCACAGTAACTGGTACTTGTGTTTGCGTCCCCACCTTCAAAACAGAAAAAGAAATAATTCAGGTTGTGAAAAGTCTATTGAGAACAATTTATCCAGCTTCTGAAGCAAAATTATCTAAAGAAATCATCTAAAATTCATACCATAACAGGTTCCTGAGAAGGACCATTTTGGTACTTCTGTGCATATACCGGATGCGAAACACTAACCGGAGATGACAGAGACAAGTTATTAACGATGCCATGATTGTTGTAATCTATAAAAGAATTAAAAGACAAAATTGATAGTTATGTGAGTTCCAACTTAAAGTCGACCATTAATTAACTAATTACTGGACCAAAAAGAAAACTCAGGCACACGTCTCATTGGAAATCACAGTCGGATATTTAGAAAAATGCAAATGTTTGCATACGACATTACTTTGAATAACTCTTTGATGAGTGTCCTGTACATGTTTATTTAAATTTGATACCGTCTTATACCTCTTTGAACACTGGGAACACTTGTATGGTCGAACACTAAAATGTTAATCACTTGTACAGTCCTTAGCAGATCTAGGTGAAAAAAGTTCAATAAACAAAAAGCACCAATACTAATTACTAACAAACAATTTTCAAGAAGAAAATTTTAAAGCTAACGTTGCAGCTTTACTGACTGTCTGCCCTTGCGAAAGCGGAGACTGCCCATCATTTCCTAACATTATGGATTCAGCTGTAACTGGCAAAGGACTATCCTCATTTAACCCGTGAATGGTTCGTGCATGATACCTAGCCCCTTGCAAATTTTTGTACCTCTTGTTACAACCTTCGACAGGGCATTTGTGTCTTCTCTCATCATTTGGCTCACTAGAACTACCACATTTTACGTCAAGTAACAAAATACAAGTAAAGATGAGTGTAACAGTGCAACGAAGATACTCTCACGTAAGCACAGCTACGTGTTTCAAAACCAAAAACGTTGATCACTCATCGCTTCAATAAAATAAATAAGAAAAAATTGCGAATTATATAAAATTGCAATGAATACCGAGTATCACCGTCTTCCTCATTCGTCCTAAAAGAGTCGTTTGAGACTTCTTCGTCATGTTCTGCAAAAACCAAAAATTTAAATTGAACACTAAAGTCGATCTCCGTTCCCTTTAAAAAAGGCTGTTTTTTCTTTTACGCGCCTCGTACAAAGAGGAGTAGTTTTGGTTAAAAAACCCATACCCCTACATCTACTCATATAAGGAAGACAGTATTACTGAGATGCTGAAAAGGTAAACATGGTAAAAATGATCGACGTATAATTCGTGCACTAAAAACTCTCGTATACAGAAACCGGTCCATAACCAACAGTTCTGAAATCTCATACGGTGCTCTCTGCATAAAGCATGTCCCAACTTCAAACGGTTTCGAATTAATGTTCTATTTTTTCTGTTTCAAACACCGTAAACGTATTCAAATATAAAACAGGTGCTTTACAAAGTTCCTATGTCAAAAATCTTTTTACGTTCTTATTTTTCCCTGTTTCATTTAATGAAACAACGCAGTTGCACAAAACAGAACAACTAAGTGTGGAAAACTACTCCCAGAAAAATAATTTAAGTCAACGGGATCAAAATCAGAAACTAAAATAACTCGTTCTAACGCTGTTTTCATGCCCCATAACTATATAGCATCTTTAATTCGTATTTAAACTTTTCTGTACTACGCTTCCAATGGATACATATGCCACCAAACAATAATTTCTGCATTATTTCTCAACACTTATCCAGGGTAGAAGAATTATGTAACATAGTTAACTAAGAATCGCATGAGCTTTCAAGGATTTATAAGAGCAACTGCTTTTATCCCGCTGCTCTGAAGAGGACCGTATAAAAACGAAATACGCGCGGAGGTAACTCTAATAAATACAGTATTATGAGATACGAATGAATTAAAGAACACCACAACATATCATACTTTCCATACCTGATCGACTTGATGTTCTATACTTGTCAATAAAATTCGGTTGGGAATAATGCACAGACCCGAACGTTGCTAGAGCAACTTGTTTCTTCCTAAACAACGAAAAGCGTAAAGAATTACCAACAAAAATAACATCTTGAAGAAAAATATGGAGTAAATAAGTTGCAAAAAATACAACTAACTAACTAATAAACGCAATTTATTCATAAATCTGAACCTGTAATGATAAAAAGAAATTTTTGTAGGTTCGTATTTTATCGGCTGAGCCTTATGTGGTGGCAGCACCGGAAAAAGTCTAAAAGGATAAAAAGAGTTTAGCAATGCTATGTTCATTTTTTATGAAATCTAAACTGACAAAATAGAATAACAAGGTAAGAAGCTACCTGTATATAGTACTAAGTGGTAAGGCAGGGCCAACAGCAGATGTGTTACTTTTAATGGCTCCATCAACGGGAGAAGGCTGTGCAGACAAAGATTTTTCTTCCTCAGCTTTTTTCCGCATATTTTCAATCTCAGCTGAATCATTAGAGTGTCTAACGTAAACGGTAAATACGAGAACAATAACAAAAAAAAAA